TGCCCTGCCCTCTTCCTGATCTGGTCCTGCCTGCCCCGCTCACTGCCCCAGCCCTGCCCACAGAGACCAGGGCAGCCAGCCCACCTGCTGGGAGTGGACGGGAAGGAGCAGACAGGTTGGTTTGACTGCTCCCCTATGGTGAGCCCAGCCGCTGGGCGGGGAGAGAGTCTCTGTGAGGGCAGCTGCACCGGGTGGTCGGGCACCACGAGAGCCTGGCGGCGGGGGAGCCCCCAAGAGCCCACTGCTGGCACATATGTCTGGTTGGCAGTCCCACTCCTAGCCCACTCCCCGGGCTGCTGTCCCAAGCACTGTAACCTCCTTCACCCTGCTCCTGTGATGTGTGCGTGGGGGGGGGGAGGTCTCCTGGCTACTGTGCTATGCTTCTTGGCATAGAAAGTCCTGTGGGGTGGAGGAAGAGGAGTAGGAACCAAGTTTAAAATAGCAATTCCAAATGATGAGGGGAAACAGTGAGGTTGGGCTCGAGCTGGGAGTAGGGGAGGAGGAATAGGAGGAGGAGGCAGGTGGGTTGTAGAGTGAAATGATGACGTTACTCTGTCATGCCGCAGGAAAGACTTTTTTTTAATATATAGAGAGATGTTATGTAATAAAGCGTCCAGCAAAATGTGCAACCAAAATTAGCAGCCCCTATTATAAACTCAAGGGCTGTGTCTACACTGGCGCATTCTTGCGCAAAAATGGCTGCTCTTGCACAAAAACATGCCACCTGTCTACCCTGGCTGCGTGTTCTTGCGCAAGTAAACTGATGTTGTACTGTATAAAATCAGGGCTTCTTGCACAAGAACTCTTCCAGAAGAGGCCAGTGTAGACAGGCAACGTGAATTTCTTGTGCAAGAAGCCCCTATGGTTAAAATGGCCATCAGAGCTTTCTTGCGGAAGAGAGCGTGTATACTGCCATGGATGCTCTTGTGCAAAAGCACATCTCCTGCGCAAAAGCACATGCCAGTGTAGATGCTCTGTTGTGGAAGAGTTCTTGCGCAAGAAGCTGCCAGTGTAGACATAGCCAAGGTGTCATGGTGCTAGTAACATTTCCCCATCCCTCTAGGCTCCCTAAAAGACCTTGGCATGTCCCTTGTACGGCATGTTTCTGCAGCCAGCTATGCCGCCTTTGTAATTGCCTGGGCAAGTACCGCCTCCAAGTAGGAGTTCTCTTGGAAGCACTTACTATGGCTTGGTAGTGACTTTGCATCAGTGGAACTAACACACTAGTAACCGCACTGCAAAAATGAACTGGGCCCCATGTTTCTCTCTTTCTCTACTGCTGCTAACAGCATAAACATAAATACAAGAAAAGCGTCCTGTTGCTTCTGCTGGACAAGCAGCTTCAGATGTGCTCAATTTTGTTAGTGTGTCATCTGTGCAATGGCAATGTCCCAGCAGGTCTTACATGCTACCTACAGCAAGATTCTAGCACACAAAGATATTGACCCTATTGTGAATTCCTGAGCCCTTTGTGCTGTTTGTGAAGCTCCCCACCAGGCAAGTCTCTTTACGTAGGAGAATCCCGAGGCGGATAGTACAGTGTTTCTCAACCATTTTTTATAAAGTACCCCTTTAAAAAAATTATAAATACCCCCAGTACCTACAGTTTTCAGACACACACAATTTTTTTCTACCATTGCAACACATTTGTTTAAACATCTTAATTGCAGCCGGGCGGGTGATAAAATTTTGGGGGTGTAAAAAGTACAAAAATAACAAAGCGCTGTAAAACTTAAAACAAAAATTCAGTTTTCTCCAAATTTCAGTTGTGTTGACATACCCCTAAGGGTACTCGGACCTCTGGTTGAGAAACACTGGAGCAGTGCACCCGCTAGCTCCAGATTCTCCGGTACAGGACAGCATGTGTGACATGATCTGGTACTCTCCTGCTGCCACACTGATCCAGCCAGGCCACAGCTAGTTTGGTGGAACCCTATGCTAGGGTCCGAAAAGACCCCTGTTCAGCTCTGGATTGGGATGCTGCATATGGCCCCATTGCCGTTTCTGCAATCAGCCTTTATAGGCAGCAGCTGAGGATTCAGGCCACATCACACAATTTAAAGCCCTTTCCCAAGTCAATATTTTTTTAAACTGCTTTTTAGATTATGATCTAGATGAGACAAAACTGGAACATCAAAACCCACCCTACTGTATTTTTGAGAGTGTGTAACATCTTAATACTTTGTTCGCAACCCAACTAACGGTTGGCTTTTGGTCCTAGGCCAGACAAAGCCTTTTCTGTGTATCAGACTGGCTAGGAACAGAGATGTGGTGATAAGCTTTGGCCTGTAATAAAGGAAACTCACAAAATCAGCTGCTAGCCCATTGCCAGGACTCTAACCCTACTCTGGCTCCAGACACTGATCTCCAGCCCCATTGTATATGTTACTTAATGCAGCTTCAAGGTGCTGCGACAAATTACAACCATTCTGTTCTCTTGTAGGCACTTACTTTTATCTTAATGAGGACACTGCCCATCCTTTGCTGTCTGTTCTAGAAGATGGATTAACAATTGCTTGCAGTGAAATAGAAAGCTTAGAATGTGATTTGCCCTTCCGGGATAATGGTTTTACAAGGTAAATGTAGGCACTTAGCAGTTATAGCTTACTGCTTCTGTTTATTTGCAAGAACTTGAAATCCTCTTCAAAAGGTTCATTGATGTGATATTGGTTTTTATGAGCCTAGAGAGGGGTCCACAAATTCCAGTAACCCCAAAATTCCAAAAGAGTAAATCCAGCCATGAGAAGCCTGAACCACAGTCCTCCCTGCTCCCCTATGGGGCTGGAGGACCAGAGACGTGAGGTGTCTCTACTGGGGCCACATCAATGAGGGTTGGAGGTTTTCAGAGGGTTTTTGTTTTGTTTTATTTTGTTTGTTTTGCTTCTCACTTGTGTGGTCCTCAGCTGATTTTTCTGTGGGTCAGTGCTCCAAAAAAGGTTTCTCACCCCTGCCATTAATAAAGAAAACATGGAAACCTTTTGAGTTGGACAAATTAATATTTTACTTTATTGAAAATGAAGTTTGATAAACTAACATGAGAAAGTTAAAACTCTTAAGCTTTTTAATAATTTAATATTTCCTTTCTTACCAATTAAATTAAACCGTTCTCCCTAGCTGCAGCATTAGCAAAATGGTTCAGGCATAATTATGTAATTAATGGCAAATTTCCATTAGTAACTGGTGGTCCACGGAAAGATGGGCTATAAATAGGCCAAAAAGTTTGAGACCCAGTGGATGAGAGGGAACATTGCTGGGAATGACAAAAGCTTTGTTGCTCAATTGCCAGTGTAAACAAAGCCTGAAACTACCCACACATGATATGTCCTCGTTTCAGCTTATATTGGTATGATTTATGCTACTCAGGGGCTTGAGTAAGCCACACCTCAATGGCATAAGTTACATGTACAGAGCTAAGCAGGCTGGAGAACACTCTCCTGTTGGCCTAGAGCATCTTCACTACATAGACCGCAGAGCTGCGGCTGTGCTACTGAAGGGCTAGTGTGTAGACGTGCCCTCAGTTTCATTGCAAAGGTGGTAGTTTTCAATTCACTTCAGGGTTAGCTCCCCAGCACACCCAGATTAGGGACACAGGTAATATAAAGCCATCTTTGCCTTTACACCAGGCATGGGCTCAGCATAGCTTGAGAATGGAGGCTCGTGGCTCTCCGACATTAGCAAAAAGGACTATTTTTTTACTTAATCCTTTTTTAGAACCAAACACCTTTAAAATAAGCTTTCAGGTGCTGCTCCTTTATCACCAAAACTGCCCCCACCCATTCGGAGGGCATTGTTCTTTGACGTCGTATTTCATTGCTTGCAGTTCACTTTGTAGCATCATTAGAATTTCCTTTGTGGTGGCTTCATCTTGGGTTATATAAATTACATTGTCCTTCTTATTGCACGGCCCATGTGCACATATCCAGATCTCTTGCCTTGGAAACTCATTTCTCTTTTAATTCGGCACAGCGCTCAAAGCCCAAAGATGAATGTCACAAAAACAGCTCAAAACCATACGCTCTTAATCCGGCAGCAGTGGGATTCTAAAATTAGCATAATTACTAGATTTTTTTTTAAATACAGTGATCCAACATTTGCATACTTCATAGGCTTCAAGAGGTAGTGGGAGTTCCCTTCCTCCTGCTCCTATTACTAAAAGCTGCCAAAGTTGCCATGGCAATGCCTCCTCACACGTAATGGAACACAGGGATGTGTCCATGAGTCTCTATTCATGGATGGTGAGAGCTGGGGCTGTTTTTATCTGTTGCTATTGAAAGGAAAATACCTACCCTGCTTTTGCCATTGGAGCCTAAATCACATTTTCCACAGTGACTTAGGTACTAAGGCCTAGACTCTCAGAGGTATTGAGATGCATAAGGGCCAGATTTTTAAAGTACAGGTTGAACATCTCCATGGTGTCGCCAAACTAGAGAGCCCCTGGACCAGAGAGCCCCGGCTCGGGGCAGCAAAGCCTGCTAATCTGTTGACAGACCCTGGGAGAGCCTTGAGTCTGTCAGCAGAGGAGCTAACCTCTCCTGGTCCAGCAAACTCCTTCCTTTGGGACAAGTCCGGTTCCAAGAGTGCTGGACCAGGGAAGTCCAACCTGTATTAAGTTGCCTAAAGATGCAGAGTCCTCGGCTGTGTCTAGACTGGCCAGTTTTTCCAGAAAATCAGCCGCTTTTCCGGAAAAACTTGCCAGCTGTCTACACTGGCCGCTTGAATTTCTGCAAAAGCACTGACTTCCTACTGTAAGAAATCAGTGGTTTTTGTGGAAATACTACACCTGCTGCTCCTGTTCAGGCAAAAGTCCCTTTTATGCAAAACTTTTGCACAAAAGGGCCAGTGTAGAGCGCTCAGATTTGTTTTGCGCAAAAAAGCCCCGATCGCAAAAATGGCAATCAGGGCTTTTTGTGCAAAAGCGCGTCTAGATTGGCCACGGACACTTTTCCACAAAAAGTGCTTTTGCGGAAAAGCGTCCGTGCCAATCTAGAAGCTCTTTTCCGAAAATAAACTTTTCCATTAAAAGCATTTCCGGAAAATCATGCCAGTCTAGACATAGCCCTCTAGTATAATTTTTAAAAGTCCATAGGTGTCTAATTCCCATTGGTTTCAAAATCTCTAGGTGCCTAAATATATTTTAAAGTCTGGCCCTTAGAAACCTAAGAATCATTGTAACTGGTGCAATTCAGTAGCCTAAGAGCCAGGTTTACAAAGGTATTTAAGCATCTGCAGATGAAGATATGTGCCTAGAAGGACTGACACATCCTTAATCAGATTGGGAATTTTAGAAACCATGGACAACAAGAGCTGCGAGTGCACAGGTAAATAAACAATTTGGCAGCCCAGCAGGGGCTAATCCTGGCGAATTGCATCCGGCCTGTGGGCCTACCCATATTCGCGGAGGGTGGGGGCTCTTTTATGTTGCACATGAACAGCTGGTGCTGGCACACTAATAGTTCTGAACGCTGAGACTGAGTTTTGGAAGCTGCTGTTAATTTTTGAAACCCTCTATTATGTCAGGGTACAGCTCCTGTGCCAAAATCACTAAGACACGTACAACAAGGAAATTACGCAGCAAACTTTTTTCTGAAAGTTTATGTAATCTGAAAACAAATAATGCATTTCCTAACTCTCTCAATCAGATGCAGGCTTGCCATGCTGGCTTCTCAACCTTAATTACTATGGTAATACTTTGTTACCGGATGCTTGCACATCTTTGTGCATGTCCTCCCATTCTCCACTCTCTCAACTCATAAAAAAATGCAATATTTTTATCTTATTTCAAATTTCAACACTCTCTCTTTCTCTGGTCTTGAGACATTTACTTGGGCTTCTAATGAACTACAGAATTGATTTAAGTGGTTGTTGCTTAGGTGTTGTGTGGCTTAGGAACTGTCTCTTGCTCCTTGTGCCCTTCTACATGCACTGAGCTCCCAGCAGGCTGGGAGTTTAATCATGCCTAGAAGCAGCAGAGCACTGTTGCCAGCTAAGCCTTTGTAATTTACTTCCACAGAATAAAAACACAGCCTGTAAATCCGCAATTAAAACTTATTTGTGTGATTTATCACCAGCTCTCCTCTGTGACATTGACATGAAGAGGGCTGTAGCATGGATTTTCCCAGGGCAAGACTGAATGTAACTGGTTAACCTTTAGGGCTCACTGCCCTGAGTGTAGCTGAGAAGTTTAAGCAACATACAAATTGCTTAAGGCACTAAACAAATCAACTCAAGTCTCTTTCTAAAGGCCCCATAGACCAATGAGATATAGAGACAGGTGACGAGGGTACAAATTCAGAAGCAGTTTTGGCACTCATCCTGTGCTGCATTCAAATATGGGGATGGTCTGCTACTCTTACTCACACCGAGTCTATCCTGCTCATTAAGTAGCCCCATTACTTCTAACACTTTGGTGTCTGTGTGGGTGGATGAACTGGAAGGTAACAGTAAATCCCTGGCTGCATAGGAAGAAACACACATTAATACCTAAGGGTTGGCTTGGCCATGTCCCCTTTTCCCTGCTACACTGGCAGCAGGGAGAGTATTGGAAGGCCCCACTCTTGCTAATGCAAAAATGGATCACGACTGTTCAGGGCCATTTAACCAGATGTAAGACTCGATTTTGCTGGCAGCATGATACAAGGTGGCTGTGCCGTATCAGAGGGTTAGACTCTGGGCTTCTGCAGATTTTGCCTTTTCTACAACGTAAATTTTTAGCTAAAAACACCCTGATGGAACAGGGGCTCTTATAAAGCCTGATCCTGCACCACTGCAGTCAACAGGAGTTTTGCTATTGATTTCAATAAGTGCAAGGTCAAGCCCCTACTGCTGCATGTTTGTCTAGCTCCGTGCTGCTTGCAGGTTGCGCTGTTGGAATGAATGCACACTGAACAGAAACTAAAGCTTATTACTAAAACAGTCTCTCTCACAAGCCTGATTTATCTGGCTTCTTAGCTATGGTATGTTAAAACTCGTCCTGTTCACTCTGATATATAACAACTGTGTGTGCAATCTCTGGGTCTCTTTCTAGCAAATTACTATTTAACCAACGACCAAAAATATATGAAGCTATTCTCTGTTCCTGTAAGAGCTCAGCACACACTTCTATGCAATAAAACACAGATATAAACCTTTAGAATTTCATTAGATGTAACAGGCTGAGTAAATGTTTCCTTTGTATTCTCTAGGCCAGATCCTTAGCTGGTGTAAAGTGGCATAGTCCCACTGACTTCAGGGGAGCTATAACAGTTAATGATCACGAAGGAACCAACCCACGTTGTTAACAAGTCAGCTAGCTCCACTTCTATTTGTAAATATTTAAGGTTTGCATGCAAGACCGAAGCATTTTAAATACTATGCATATACAATTACATGCTCTGATTTTCCTTTCCCAGATGCATTGCTATCCTGGGAAACATGATACCATTCCAAGGGAAACATTACTGGGAGGTGGAAGTTGATGAAAATATGGAATACAGGGTCGGCGTGGCTTTTGAAAATACTCACAGACACGGGTACCTGGGGGCAAACAACTCATCCTGGTGCATGAGGCATATTGTCACACCAGCAAGGTAAACACATGAGCACTCCAGATCCCTCAGGAGCCATAGCTAAGAGAGCTGTATGTGGCCCTATGCGACGGGCAGATGAACAAAGCCTGAGCCAGTCATTGAACTGTGTGGCTGTAAATTTCCAGCTTAGACTCTGTGAACTGGAAATGGATATAATGGAAACATTATACAAAAGGCTTTTAAGCTGCTTAAGAGTCCTAGTCATCGGCAGGCAACTCCCCATGAAATGGGCTATCCCATATTTAAATCCAAACAAAACCTGTGTTGTCAAAGTGGGTGTCAGACCCCCTTTCGGGGCATTCAAATCCCAACCAGAAACAGCCCAGGTGAAGGATTCATTTAGACAGTAAATGATACAGGTATTTGGCTAAAGTCAGAAATACAGAATGTATTTGATTCCACAGATTAAACAGGCTCCCAGACTTCCACCTGAAGGTGTGAGCTTCTGGTTTACATCTTCAAGGTGGCACATGATATGGTAGCATATAATACAAAAACTTTGCATGGGAATCTACAGCACTTTTGCTTCTGAATAGCACAATAAATAAGATCTACAGAAAAATAATAATTCTTACATTTCTCTGCCTCATTTTTACTCACCAGTCCACAGCATTCTTTGGGCTGTGGTCATCCAAGGTACTTCTGTTGCAGTGTGCGCCTGGGGCTCTGAAACATGGAGCCTTCTGGCCCCCGTATACCTATTCTGACTGTGGCCAGTCTGTCCCCTTCCCATCTCCTTTTCAAACTTTCCTCTGTATGTCTCTCTGGCTACGTCTGCAATACAGGCTTTTTGCGCAAGAACAGTTGCTCTTATGCAAAAACTTGCAGGGTGTCTACATTGCACATGTGTTCATGCGCAAGTAAATTTACAGTATAGCATCAGAAAACAGGGCTTCTTCCAGAAGAGTTATTCCTCTTCCCACGAGGAATAAGCTTTCTTGCGCAAGAGCTCTTCCATAAAAAGGCAGTGTAGAAAGGCAACATGATTTTCTTGAGCAAGAAACCCCTATGGCTAAAATGGCCATCAGAGCTTTCTTGCGCAAGAGAGCGTCCACACTGCCATGGACACTCTTGCGCAAAAGCACATCTCTTGTGCAAAAACACATGGCAGTGTGGACATGCTCTTGTGGAAGACTTTTTGCACAAGAACTCTTGTGCAAAACAGTTCTTGCGTAAGAAGCCTGCAGTGTAGACATAGCCTCTGAGTCTTCTCCCTGCAAGCCCTTGTCTCATCTCCTCTCTCTCTGTCCTACTTGGGAAATTTCCACTCTCTTCACTTCCCTCTTTCTTTCAGATAAGAGTATGAAGCATCTTCTGTCAGGGAACCACTTTAACAAATCCACTCCCCCAAATTGCTTCATTCTGACTCAGTGGTGGCTGGGTTTTACTGACCCACCATAGCCTCTGGCCTGGTGGACACGTAATATAACCCTGCCAGCCAGAGGTGGATACATAGCAACAGCAGGGCATCCACAAAACAGCAGTTTTCACAGTAAGAACTTTGTCATAGCAACCAGAATTCGTAAGTCATAAAGAGGTTCCATAAATCATCCCCAAGTCCCCTGCCTTCCTACTGACACCCAGAGGAGGTGGGAGATGCAGCACGCACTGCACTGGTCTGTGGCTAATGTAAAAAGCATTCTCCCTGAGGCATTATCCCAGTGTGCCTCACCTGAGGGAGGCTCCATGCTCACCACCATTCAATACAACAAGAGTTTTGTTTGGACCCTGGCTAGGTGACAGCCCTATTAATAACTGGACTCATTTCTTACACAGGAAGGGATGCTGTTCACCCCCAGGCCAGGCTACCAAACTTATTACCCCTTCTGCCCCTGCAGGAAGGTTAGTTTGATTTTCCAGCTAACTGTGGCTGAGACACACAATTAGTGACTCTGGAGGAATCTGATGAATAAGGACTTTGGTGGGAGAGAGGAGATAAATTGACACGAGCAAGGTTCTTTCTGAGTCAATTCCAAGCCCAGCTTCTGGGAACACTTAGGGAAAGCAGGCTGCCTTTGAGAGCAGGCTGGGATGAGCGTGTGGTGAGGGAGGAAGCTGTCCCTTGTGAAATGCTGGATCACTTCACTGCCGCTGCTGAAAAACATTTCCCATTTTCGCTCCAAAGTGCTCCCACGGGAACACAGGCTGCGTGTTCTCAGGCTGCAAAAAGGCCTGTTTCTGGCTGCAGCGCTCTGGGTTGGGGGGGTGGAATATGAGCATCTGAGCAACTCGCAGTCTCCTTTACCTGATTGTGAGTTAATAAAGGAGACAAGGTCTAACTCCATTACAAACACCTAACGCAGTCAGCGCTGAAATCAGAATGCCATTCACGTGTGACTTTTAGTTGCATCTTGGGAGTCTCGACTTAAAGAGAGCACCATCTAGTAACTGAATGTGCATAGCTAGAATTCACTGGCTTGTCTCAGCAGCAGGGGTGGTTGAATTAGGAGTGCTTCTGGGACAAGGGGCCAGAGATGCAATTTAGAAAATACAGCTTTACAACCAAAACTAGTTACTTTGGAGGCCATCAACCCCTCCACTAAATTAGACAGTCTTTGCTCAATGGGACACATTCCCCATCTGCTGACAGACGCGAGCAGTGTCAGTGCCCCCCAAAGGCTCAGGGAAGATGGTTTAATAGTATCTACATCCCTTAGAGCTCTTGCCACAGGACTTGAGCTCTGGGGACTTGGGCTGGATCTTGAGGGGGTAGAATAGCACAGTGGCTGTTCTTTATAGCGTATTTCCTTGCCAGAGCTTGCAGCTATCAAACTGCAGCTCTGAGCAGGGGATAAAGCTGCTCCAGGCAAGATTAACTCCCAGTGGATTCTACGTGCAACTGGAAGGAAAGGTGGCTGGTACAGCATAACTCCTATATGGAGGAGAGGTGGCTTCTGAAGTTGTATAGATGCTTCATGAAGCTCAGCTCTCATGTTCATTTCAGGCCAAAACTCTGCACATTTAGCAGGGATGGGGGGAAATGTAGGTCATAGCCCCCACCCTGATTTTTCCCTGAAAGGGAGAATCTGGGCCTATATAACTATTGTGAGTAAGGCTGCAGCCGCCAACTATAGAAGCCCACCATTTTAGAATGCTCATAGTTGGGTAGGGGAGACTGCCTGTACATTGTGGGTGAAACAGGGCTAGGTCACAACTATCCTGTGGGCAGAAAGGGACAGTATTGGGTGCGACAGGGCTGCACGCATAACTATGGAAAGCAGCTTCTCTCTACAAGGGGCAGAGTAGGGATGATAAATTTTGATTAATCAACTCATTAAGTAGTCAATGGAATTTCCATCAAATACTCAGTCAATAACGGGAGGGGGGGTGCTTGCTATCCCGCTGTACCTCTGCCTTTGAAATGTACAAGACCTGAGGGTGGCTCTTGTATATTTTAAAAGGAGAGGTGCAGTAGTTGGGATGTTTTGCCTCCCCTACGCCCCACAGAGAGTGCTGGGGGAACTGGCTTTTAAGTCAGCACCCCCTCCCCCCCCAACACCGGCTCCTGCTCCCTCCACTACCTCTCTGATAGAGGCAGCAAGGGGTGGGGAAAGTGACTAGTTGAGTCACTACTTGACTACCCGATAAGCATATGCTAATTGTAAAGTCATGCACATCGGGAAAAATAACCCCAACTATACGTACAGTAGGATGGGGGCTAATTTGGCTACGACAAATCAGGAAAGAGATCTTGGAGTTATCGTGGACAGTTCTCTGAAAACTTCCATGCAGTGTGCAGCGGCGGGCAAAAAGGCAAATAGGATGCTAGGAATTATTAGGAAAGGGATAGAAAATAAGACCCAGAACATCTTACTGCCCCTGTATAAAACTATGGTACGCCCACATCTTGAATACTGTGTACAGATGTGGTCTCCTCACCTCAAAGAAGATATTTTGGCCTTGGAAAGGGTTCAGAAAAGGGCAACTAAAATGATTAGGGGTTTGGAACGGGTCCCATATGAGGAGAGGCTAAAGAGACTGGGACTTATCAGTTTAGAAAAGAGGAGACTGAGGGGGGAGATGATAGAGGTCTATAAAATCATGAGTGGTGTGGAGAGGGCTGATAAAGAAAAGTTATTTATTAGTTCCCATAATAGAAGAACTAGAGGACACCGAATGAAATGAATGGGTAGCAGGTTGAAAACTAATAAAAGGAAGTTCTTCTTCACACAGCGTGTTGTCAACCTGTGGAACTCCTTGCCAGAGGAGGCGGTGAAGGCTAGGACTATAATAGAGTTTAAAGAGAAGCTGGATAAATTCATGGAGGTTAGGTCCATAAAAGGCTATTAGCCAGGGGATAAAATGGTGTCCTTGGCCTCTGTTTGTCAGAGGCTGGAGAGGGATGGCAGGAGACAAATCGCTTGATCATTGTCTTCGGTCAACCCTCTCTGGGGTACCTGGTGCTGGCCACTGTCGGTAGACAGGATACTGGGCTAGATGGACCTTTGGTCTGACCCAGTACGGCCGTTCTTATGTAATTGGATAGTCGACTAGTCCCTTACATCCCTAGGGCAGAGTGCAGACAATTGTTCATTTCTTCCTATTTTAAACTTGCAGGCATAAGTATGAATTTTTGCACAGCGGGACAACGCCAGACATTAGGATTACGGTTCCCCCGAAGAGGATTGGCATCCTGCTGGATTATGAAAGCTGGAAACTGTCCTTTTTTAACCTGGATATTGCACAGCACCTTTACACGTTCGAGGGTCCTTTCCAGCATTACGTGCATCCCTGTTTTTCTTTAGAAAAGCCTGGAAAACTAAGGATACGAAATGGCATCGCGATGCCCACATCTATTACTCTTTTATGATCAATGGCTTGAGGGGCAGCTGAAGAGCATGGTACATCTGTGCCCAGCATACTGACAAAAATCCATCACAATCATTTTCTCCCTTTTATGTATACATCATTTATACGCCAGTGAATCTCTCAAGGCTCAGTACTGCATGCACAACTCCTATGGAAGACCTTGCCAGCTGAAGATCTGCAAGATCAAGCCCATAGACTGATATATCCATCTTATGTCATTCACAGGCTTCCTAAGTTCAGAAAGTTTCTGACCCTGCTGGAGATGGACAAGCTCGTACTAGTGCACTAAAAATAGCAGTGTGGACAGCGTGGCTTGGGCTGAAACTTATGCTCTGAGGCAGGGGAGCCGAGTCCATGCTCTCAGAAGGGGCGGAACCTCGGGTGGAAGGGGAGGGGCCTTGGGCAGCCAGCCCTCAGCTCTGCCCAGAGCACGGTGCTCCAGCTCTCCACCTCCGCAAAGTAGCCCTCAGAGCCACTCAGCATTCCGGCAGTGATTGAAAAGGTGCTGGGCTCACACAGCCACTGAATCCATGGTAAGAGGCAGAGGCAGCCTGAACCCAGACCCTTCTGAATCGCCATGCCTCAGGGCAATTGCTCCCTTTGCCCCCTGCTTTCCCTCATCGGTGGGCCAGTCCTCAGGTCTAGATAGCAGGAATCTTTCTGAGCTGGGAGCTCAGTCCCACCTGTAGTGTAAGCTTGCAAGTGTTCACAGAAAGAGGGCTGAGAATGAGATGTCGTGGGTATGTCGCAAGGTGGCCAATATGAGGCACCACCCATGCTACCCCAGTTACATCTAGGTATGGTGGGAATCATGCCTCCCAGCTCAAACGCAGAGGCACGCAGAGTGAGGATGGGGCAGACTGCATAAGGAACGCCAATATATTTTGATGATCATTGTTTTAAAAAACCAAGTGATTTCTATTCTCGCTTATGTAAGGCTAAGAGCTAGGAAAGAGCTATACAAAAATGACCAGAAAAGCAAAGGGCTTTATCACCACAGAGTTGTCAGATGAAGCCAAAAATGCTCATAAGTTACGCAAGTACCATAAAGCTGATCTCAAAGTATTTTTTGCAGCTGCTATAGACTTTTTGAAGTCTATGAACAAAATAATCAAATACGCCTCACTGTCATGTGAATCACTTTTACCACTAGGAGAGGCCTTGTGAAATAATCAACCATGTTATATGCTCAGTCATAAAAGTCATTTCACAAAATGTCTATGCTTCTCATTCAGTTTTTCAGCAGAACTGCAGACTAGGCTCTTCATGGTACCTTCATATCTTTGACAGGGGCGTGATCACGTGAGGATTACCTGTTGTGATCCCTCCCTCTGGGACGTCTGGTATTGGCCACTGTCGGAAGATGGACCTTTGGTCTGACTCAGTATGACCGTTCTTATGCTGCTTGTAAATACAAAGTCACAGACCTCATTCTTAGCATGTGCTACTTTCCCACTTACATACTTAGGAGCCAACTGTCCTGCCACTCACAAATCTATTCATATTTACACACCTGCAGCAAGTAGGAATAGAATCGAGGACCTGTGCCTTTAGCATGAGGTCTTCCCAACTCAAGTTTGAAGTATTCCGACCCAGTATTTGATTTCAGTTCCAATTTATTTGTTGGCACGTCACTTAGGGTACGTCTAGACTAAAGGCTTTAGTCGACAAAGTTTCTGTCAACAAAGAGTGTCTAGACTACATTCAGTTCTGTCGACAAAGCAAGCTGCTTTGTCGACATGGCAGTGTAGACGCAAAGGACAGTTAGATACAATAACGCTTTCTGTCGACAGAACTCTGTCGACAGAAGGCGTTATTCCTCGTAAAATGAGGTTTACCAGCGTCGACAGAACTCAGCGGTAGTGTAGACGCAGGTTTAGTTTTGTCGACAAAAGTCCACTTTTGTCGACAAAACCCTGTAGTCTAGACACACCCTCAGGGATAACATCAGGCCTTCCAAAACCTTAAAGTGTGCTTGCTATATTCCAGCTGGCAGGCCTGGAGGGATTCCAGACAGTTTCACTCAAATGTATCAAAGCTATATACATTAAATGAAGAATATTAGCTGAGATGCAGCAATGAAGTTTTATTTAGTATTCACATTACAAAATTATCAGTACAACCTCACGTGCCAGAAGATGCTCAAGAATGAACCAAATCTGCAAAACACACATTCCACAGGAATAAACAAAGGCAATGTTCCCTCAAATTTTTTCCATCTGTGTGTGGGAAAAAAATGGTTATGCGCACTGAGGCATGTGCAGATATGCATCACCAATAGAAACACATGCTGCCAGTTTAGGGCAGAGGTGGGCACTCTGACAATCAGCTGGGCAACACTTTAATCTTTCCTGGGTGTTTGCTTACAAAGAACACTGAACACAGGCATTGAAAATTTAGTTACCAGCATTAGAGGAATAGGAGAAAATTCATGGGGGTGCTGACTTTTAAAATGAAGGCAATGTTTGCAGCTACCTTCTCTTTCAAGATGTCTGGTAATACAAATCTATCAAGGTACAGTATCACCTTTTAGAATTTATCCTAGCAACAATTCACAGATTCTAAAGCCAGAAGGGACCATTGCAATCATCTAATCTCCCTGTCTAACACAGGCAAGAGAATTTGACCCAGCAATTCCGGCATTGAGCCAAATAGCTTGTGGTTGGCCAAGAGCACGTATTGTAGAAAGATGTAAAAATGTCCCAAATTCTTAGCTGCTGTAAACATTCTTAGCTCCACTGATGTCAGATCTATGACAATTGACACAGCTGAGAACATATCCCTTACTTAAAGATATGGGCCTCCTTTCCAGTTTGAACGTGTCCTGTTTTAACTCCCAGCCATTGGACCTTGTTATGTTTCTATCTGCCAATTTAAAGTCCCCTGCAAGCAAGAATCTTTTTTCATGTAGAAGGAATAATGAACCAAAATCTGGAAGGAGGAAAAAACAAAACAAAAAAGACAACATGAGTATTAAGACAACTGAATAACTTTCCCAGGAGGCAGGATTAACTATGTCACTTAAGGCTGAAGGGGAAGACGCTTTCCCAAACTATGTATCCGAAATCACTGCTGGCTTCCAACCAGACACAAAAGCGACAAGGAGTCCTGTGGCACCTTATAGACTTAACAGATTTATTGGAGCATAAGCTTTTGTGAGCAAAGACCCACTTCGTCAGATGCATGGGCCAATAAATCTGTCAGTCTATAAGGTGCCACAGGACTCCTCGTCGCTTTTGCAGATTCAGACTAACACGGCTACCCCTCTGATACTTTAAACCAGACACAGGTGTTCGCCTTGTCCTAGATTTGAATGATGCCACTCCCCACAATCACTTTACATCTTCCTTCATGCATATACACATTTTTGCACCATTCCCTTATTCTATAGTCCACCATGACCAAGATCCTGGCCCACAATAGATTCCACCTGGCAAGCAATTATCAGGGTCCATAGCACTTCCCTACCTCCCCAGGCTGTGATGAGAATACACACATGATATCATTGGGAGGGGTTCAGTTGCCATAGCAATAGGGGCTTGTGAAAGTTCCGTACCTAGGTCACTGTGTTGCTTGATGTATGACTGTCAGAGTAAGTCTGGTGGTTTCCTATTGAATTGGGAGCTGACCACAACAGGACTCTGTGTTCACTAAAGGGGATGGCAGATCCCTGGCAACGACAGCCACAGGAACATCTAAAAAAGAACAAATACACAATGATTAACTACAAGGTTACAAACAACAGAGGAAATGAGTTTGCAGAGATTTGCTTAACAAAAATGTCTCTGGCTGGCTGTTGCCCAAGCATCTTTCTAGGGAATCCAAAGCTTGTTGTTTGTTAAAATATATATAAAGCAGAAGAGGCACAAACAACCTGCATTTTTTAAACCAGCTGTCACTATGAGTTATCCTTAAACACAGTCCTCAGTATTGAAGACATGAGCCCAGAGTTTTTGCATGTGTGCTCACTGTAGAAGAGAGAGCTCAGTGCATCTTTACTCAAGATAATGAGGGCCCAACCCCTTACAGACTGAAACCTGCATTTGAAAATAATGGATGAGTTTCCTACTGGAGCTAGAGTAGATTTGTACTTGTTATTCCTGGCAGTTCCACAGGAGATTAACCACTGCCATCCAGGGTTTTTTTCAGTAGAAGAATGAAACTGTTAGAACATTTGCTTAATTATTGATTTAAGTGTCTGAGCTATTCCTTTGGGCAGGAAGAGTTGAATAAAGCAAAACCAATTCTCCCCTGTGGGCTGACGAAAGAAAGTTTGGCTCCCTATCAGAGTAGACCACCTCAGGGACACCAGCAAACGTAAAACAAGTCAGGTTTCTCTCTGGATGGCTTGCCCACTTCCATCACAGTAACACACTAAAATCCCCTGAGCTCCTCTGGTATTTTTCTTTATACCACCAGTTTACTTTGAGCATTTGGCAGCACAAAACCAAATTTATCCTCACACCAGCTCAACACCGAAGGAAGGTGGATTGTGCTATTCATGTATTTAAGGGTTGATGTAGCCCCTCCTCCGCCTTTCCTCAGACTAGGCTCAACATCAAAGGCTACCCTAACTTACTCTCTGGTAATATGCCAGGAAGGGAGTGTAGGACCATCCCGGCCTCGTCTCACCTCTGGCCAGTCCCAGATCCACCCAGAATGTCCCTGAACAGAGAACTTCTTTCAGAGTAGCCCAGAGGCCCTTGTACTGCTCTTGTTTACCAGAGGCAGGAGTACAGACCATTTATGCAAATACTGCAAGAGATTGTAGGACAATACTGACTGCCCCTTGTGAGTAGGGAGTGTCACTGTATGCTCAGCTTCCCTTTTGCTTTGCATGGGGGCGGGGGGGGGAGGGAGGCTCTGCAGCACAAGAGGGGAGAGAAAACCCATCTTGATCAGTAGAAAAAATGATGTTAAGGCCACAAACCTTGGAAGGAGGTTGAGAAGCAGGAATAACACCCAAAGCTGCTACTTTATTCTTTAATTGACTAGATTAGAAGCTGCCCGTAATTGCTAAAGAGCAAGCTGGATCCAATCTCTCTTGAAATGCAATAAATGCTCTATTGAACAAATGACTTCCTTTGTCAGTATTTGGGTTAAGTGAGTGTTAAGATTTTAAAGAAGGTTAAATAATTTTTACTTTTTTAGATTTCTCTTCTCTGTTTTACACCAGGTTAATTTACTAAATTACTCTAGAATGACATGGATGCACATAACAATACAGGACTAGGTAAGTAAGAAAGCATATTTATAACCAACAAATATGGGGGAATCTCTTTCCTCAAATTTCTCCCCTTCCCTCTACCCCATGATATATTGTTTGTAAAGCCTCCCCATCTTTGGACTATTTCATGCTTCACACAGATTAACAAATTTATCCTCAACACCACCCTCCATGGTAAGGAAATACAAACCTCATTTTGCAGATGGAAAACTGTGAAACACAGAGGTCCTAGGCCCAATAATAATTGTAAATAAGTTACCCCAGAGTCAAACAGAAAGACTATGAAAAAGCAGGGGATTGTACCCAGCTCTCATGAATCTCAGAACAGTGCCTACCTGCAAAAGACTCTTTCTGCCCTTGGCAAACACATTAGGGTACTAGATATTTTTGTCACCACTCGTACCAAATGTTTAGTGCCAGTCAATCTACAATAACTGTTGCTATTTCCTCTTGTCCACTGCTAATTTCAAGCACCAGTACACAGTGTCACCACTTGAGGGCATCAAATGATGCTGGTTTAGAAGAATGCATTTTATGGACACCAAGAACGGCAGCATCAATCCATCAGCTGCAGAGCTGACAAGTCCAAGAGATAGTCACTAAATAATAAGGAAACAATTACAGCTTGCAACCAGTTACCAATCTTTTTTCCATCCCATTTCTGTCACCATCCAGTCAAAAGAAGTGCTTGGAATGAAGGGCTCTAGAATGCTATAAGCAAACAAATCCATGTTACACAAGACACGAAAAGTCAATAGTGTGACTTTAGTAACGTGCAAGGTGACGGGCTTAACACACAATGTCACTGGTGAAAGGAGTCGAAAGGTAAACAGAAATGTAAAATTTATTCCGTTTTAACAAGAGAATTAGTTACATTTTAACTTGGCAGCGTCCCTTTATTGCCATAAGAACTTCCAAAATAAAACAGTCACTGTTGATAAAATAAGTAGGTCCTGACTCCATCTCTGAGACAGGCCCTGTTCTTCTACCATTTAATTTAGGAGGATAGTATCAGTAGAGTCAACTTGACTTCACTGGCTCTACTTTCTTAGTCCTCCAGGTGAACATCAATAAGAAATGCCTCATGGCAAAGCCAGAAATTGAATCCAGTTCTTCTGCATCTGAGTCCATTTCCGTAACTTACTAGGATTCCTCCCTCCCCGTGGGAGCAATTACTTAATCCTCCTTTCTTTCTATTAAATAATTAATAGGTTTGAAGCCCACAGGCATTTTTATACTCACCCTATTTTAGGCTCTTGATCAATAATGTTTACCACTGATAACCATATTATAGTGTTATGCATTGGAGAGATGTATTAAAGCAGGCACAGAATGATGCAGAAAGCGGCAGAATAATGAAACAAATTCTTATTTCATATTCAGACTTAGCCACAGTCTGCATCCCACTAAGAGCTGGCTGCATAATTTTCACTGAACCAGTTTCAAGATCACAAGAGATGCCCTGTCTACACTGAAGTTTTTATCTTCTTCAGTCACATTAGCACTAGTGTAGCTCCAGTGGTGCTATTAGAATGTACATAGGGATCAGATCTTTTCCTCACTGAGTCACCGGCACATGCTATGGAGTTACAGCCACGGTTATGATGGTGAAAACACCACAAGCCAATTTACAATAGATTGCATTGCTACCACAAGTGCAGCTGGAATGGAGTTAGTACCACACAATGTTCACAAAAACCTGTGTAGCTGCAACCTGTGAAATGATGCAGTAATGGACTGCATGGACACCAAGCCAGTCTCAGTTTCCCTTGACACTAGGAATGTAAAAATTTGTTTAAAAAGATAACCGTGTATCCAGTAAACAATCTTAGCAGTTAAATGGTTACACACTGTGGGCTCTGCAGTATGCAGTGAAATAAGCTTTATACTGCAGAGCATGTAGCCGGTGAGAGCTGCCGGACCTGCTCCCGGGGCAGAGGCTACAGTGAAGCTGCTTTCC